GTAATACTTTGAATGGATTTTACTCCGGTTCGTGCATGAAGAAAACAAGGGTAGATATACTCAATCTGTAGCGAAACATGCAGAGGGGGAGGGGCTAGGGTAAGTTTGTACCCAGGGTATAGAAAAGCAAATTGAAAACGAGGCTGAAAGAAGGGTTAGAATTTAGACGAATAGACTGTCTCCTACCTGTGGCAGATTTCTATCAGTTCCTTTCAAYTTTGCTAAATAYTTYTGTAGYARTACTTGCGCACGRCTCTTCTCTAAGTTCGTAGTCARGTTCAAGTTGGAAAGGGAGTCGGCATTTTCGTCGCATTTTTTTCTCGAGAAYGTAAACGCAACAACAGGTAACTTCTCTTTCTTCTCGAGCATCGTAACCAATGACAACCAAACATTTCGATCCTACAACGAAATAACGATATTAAATTCATTCTCTATATACTATACTTGTGAAGCCTGAGAAAAAGGCATGTAGCAACCCACTCCTCCCCTAGTACAAATGATCACATCAAGTTTTGTAATTTGATAGGATATCTAAAGATGATATAGTAAAGAAACACACGCGCTTTAAAAACGTAGTCTAATTTCTTCAGCTTTTACCAACTTTACTGTGTCTTTCAAAGCCATCAGTGACTACTAAAATACGGCAACTAAACCCGTGCAACACTTACACTGTATGGAAAACGCGGTTTAGTATAAAACAGGGAGGAGCAAGACTTAGATGTTAGGAAGACGTACGGGAGAAAAACGTATTGCTCCAACGTCTCCGCTCCCTGTCTGTATTAGGAACACCTCTCTATTACGGACATCTATATATTTCGGGCAACAAAATCAACTCTATGTTCTTCTGCGCATGCACTCGTACGTAAAATTCTTAAACAACAGTGTATCCCACATGGGTCACAAGTCTTCATTAAAGCCAAAACACTTATAAACTGACCGACTTAACGTTGCCAAAGCTTTTCCCTCCTTTGGCTCCATACATCTCTTTACTTTTACTGGAACGCTCCTTGATGGCATCCATAGCTTTTTGGTAGCCACGTGTCAAGAACGTGCTGTTTTGATCGAGAAGTAGAAACAGCTCGTTGCTTGTTTTATTGCTGTTGCCTGTGTACAGAAAGTGCTCGAGAGGGACTGGGCGCTTTGCGGTGCTGATCACGTGGATGCGTTTCCGCTTTGTCCGCCTTGAAAAACAAGAATTGGAAATCTAAATGACTTGAATGAATAAATAGATGGATGGAGGGATCCTGGGGTGGGGACTCCGGTGTAAAAGTACCGGGGGTGTTCGTCGGATCTCTTAGGGGTAAAAATTCGTGATTGGGAATCTTTTAGGGTGCCAACTTAATTTGGAGTTTCTGGAAATTTGCTTTTTCTGCAAATCTCAGGGTGTCGTTTTTATCATGATTGGAACTGATTTATTTAAAAAAATATTTGTTGTGCAATCTCTTAGGGGTTAAAAATCAGTCACGCCCTTCATTTCAAGACTTTCGGGATATTTTTGAAAAATTTCTGACGAGCATGCCTGGTACTTTTACCCCGGAGTTCCTCCCCTGGGGGGATGGTTGAAAGGATGGATTGCTTATGCAAATGAAATGGATGGAATGATAGCTGAAGAATGGATGTACAAAGGTGGTTTTCCTTGCAAAAAGAATGTAAGTAATGAAAGAGTCCCACAATAGACCTAATTGGTTTTAAACCACCCGGAAGTGAGTTTCATTGTTCGTTGTATTTTCATTTCACAGTTGAATTCTTAGAAACAAAAGTTCTTTTTCCCACAGGATTTGAATTGGGTGGCAACTTACATAGCAACGCCGTTAGCTGATTAGGTCTATTCTGTGGATTCTTGAAATACTTGATAAGTCAACAATGGATCACCATGGCAATGTCATCATTATCATATCTCAATACCACTTACCCGATCCAATCAGCAAACTCTAAAGTGTTCGGCACTGTCGCAGACAACAGTATGATGCCCACATGATCTGGTAACATGATGAGAACTTCTTCCCACACCACCCCCCTCTGGGAAAAAATTGTAAAAATCACAAAGTCAATTTAATGCTTACTCAAAGCCCCTCCCCTACCCCCACAGTCAATGTTGGTTAACAATGTTGATGGCGGGAATGTTTCAGTATGGTGAGGGTTTGTTTCGAGCCCAACATTGGAAATGGGGGGCCACGGGGGGAAATTGTCTGTAAGTTATCAAATGTAGCAAACAATCAGACAAAYTCATTTGGGTTACCATGCCAACTCACCTCAGGGTCGTTGATGTAATGCACTTCATCAAATATGACCCATTCGACATCTCTAATGACGTCAGAGCCATTATACAGCATAGACCTATTATCACATAATGTTATGGTAATTAGAACTTCAATTGCAAGGAATTTATTATTGGATTGTTTAACTAAACTGAATAAGTTCTATGGTTTCATCTTTTCAAGATGTTAGCTCAACATGGACCACTATATTTAAGCAGTTAAAGATATTAAAATCCATCCATCCTTTATTTATTCCCATTATTTMTAATCCATTTTGCATTTCCTACCGTAAAATCTCTGTGGTCATGATAAGRCAWGATGCTTCWGGTTTGATTTGAACATCTCCTGTCAAAAGGCCTACGTCAAGGTCAGGGTGAGATGGAACTAGATTTTTCTTGAAATCTCGGAACTTTTGGTTGGACARAGCTTTGATAGGTGATGTATAGATGGTTCTATTTGAGAGAAAATACACATTTMTTATAATTATTGATATTTTAAATCATTTCGACACAAAGAAACACTGACACAGCACAAAGTAGCTATTTCAAGCCTGGTTTAAATACACGAGCAGGTGCAGAAGCAAGTGCAAACGCAAGAGGACTTTTTTCATAGTGAAATTACCGCCCAACGCAGTGATAAAGCAAGCACAGAAGGAAGCGCAAGATTTCCAAATTCTTCATTTTTTCTTGTGCAATTTCTTGCTTCTGCCCTTGGTTTTGGTAGTGAAAATGAAATGCAATGGCAAACACAACTTTTTGCCCTTGCTTCTGCGCTTGCTCTTGCGTCGCTAGTAAAAACCAGGCGCACTTTACTCACTTGGTTTTATGTCTGTTGGCCAATGCAATGGCRTATTCAGCTACTGCTGTCTTGCCAGCAGACGTATGAGCAGCAACAAAAACACTTTCATGTTCTTCAACTTTGAGGATTGCTTGCTTTTGGAATGTATCTGGCTCAAAATCCCACTAAAAATGAACGATATTATAGTCTGTACAATAATCACTTATTAAACAAACTAGGTGAAATATCATGATGTTAAATGTTTCAATGAAAGAAAAACAATTATGACCACTTTTCAAGGTATTAAAATCTTAACAAAAAGCAAAAATCAAATATAATGAAATATGAAAAAAAATGAATCATTTTAAAATGAATGAACTTCTATTAATGTCAAATTATTAAAAATGTTTAATTAATTCATCATTAAATTTGGCTTACCGTGTGGGCCATTTCAGGTATTTTCTTATGAAAGTCATCAACAGGTTTGGTAATATCTATCTCAAATGCCCATTGCTCTTTAGCAGGTTTTTCTTCCTTAGCTGGCTCTTCAACTTGTGTCTTTTTCTACAAGAAAATTAAATTTTACATGTGGCTAAATGTAATTTAGGCTAAGTTAAACTCGAGGCCTGTATCCTAGCATGCTTTGCAGCTGTGGGGGCGCCCTATAGCTTGCAGGGGCATGTGGTGTCTTCATGTGTTGTCGCACGCACTAAGTCGCTCCATGTTGTTTTGAAATCAAATGTGCGACCATCTTCACTTCTGTTTGGCTTTGCTACCTGACGTAGTGTTGTACAGTAGTTTTAATTTCTTACTTACTTTGTCTAAGATACTGTCCAAACTTGCCTGACCGTCTAGAATAACCTCTGGCTCATCATCTTGATCTTGAGATTTCTAAAAAAAGACAATTTTAATGGCCTTTTTGTTATTACTGAGAGAGTCAGTCTATCTGTCCATATGTACATGTGTCAGTCAATAACTCAGTTGGTTAGCCAATCAATCAATTACATGTAATCAGTCAGTCAGCCAGTCAGTCAATAAATCAGCCAGTCCATGTCCATTAGTCAGTCAATCTCAAAGTAGATTAGTCAACCTTGAAATAACTATATTGTCTATTAAAGGGACACTGTCAATGGATGACATGCGCAGTAACAGTCTCGCCTCTAACGGACTTTGAAAGTATTACCTCGAGGTAAATCATTTTGTGGTGCTTTTGACACACTTTGGAATATTCTAGATCTTTTTACGTTTACGAGCTGATTTATGTCACGCCAACTTGGAGTCATAAACTTGAAAACATTAGCCTAATGTTTTCAAGTTTACTCGCGCATGCGTGCCATTGACAGTGTCCCTTTAAGTTGTGTTTTTTTTTTCTGCTTATCCTATTCTTTTGTCATGATTACATTATGTTCCTGTTACTTTAGCAAAACTAATGGATCAATATAATTATTAACACATCCATTTCAATGGTATATCCCAATCAATAATACCTCATCTGTAGTCGATGGCTGTTCATCGCTGTCTTCACTATTTTCACTGTCACTATACTCAATGTCTTCTAGACTGTAGGAGTGAATGTCTGTTACTGACAGAACTTGAAGTTTATCTACAACAAAGTGATATGAATTATTAAACTCACTTCACAGTAAAATTTTCTAAACACTACCAAACAACCAAAACTTACCAATAGGCTTGTCTTCATCTTCTCCAAACCTTACTGGACCAGAGAAGTGGGGAGGGGTGTCTAACAAACCTTCAAGGTCATTATAAAGACAATTAAATTCAAAACTACCTTGTTTCCATGGAAACTACCAATCTAACTGTTTCCATGGGAACACACAGACAGTGCAGATTTTGAATGGAACCTTATAAAACCATCAAAGCTGTTTTTTTTAGGTTTGAAATCTTGGAATCTTGGTTTCCACCTAGCAGTTCTCTCTTGATTCTCTCCACCACTCTTCTATCTACATTAAACTTTTTTTACCTGTTTCAAAATCCAGCTCACCATCTTCCATAATTTCAGATTTCAGATCGTTTTGTTTCATTCCACCTTGGTAAGAAATAATCAAAAATGATATTTTTTTATCAATNAAATCAAATATAATGAAATATGAAAAAAAATGAATCATTTTAAAATGAATGAACTTCTATTAATGTCAAATTATTAAAAATGTTTAATTAATTCATCATTAAATTTGGCTTACCGTGTGGGCCATTTCAGGTATTTTCTTATGAAAGTCATCAACAGGTTTGGTTATATCTATCTCAAATGCCCATTGCTCTTTAGCAGGTTTTTCGTCCTTAGCTGGCTCTTCAACTTTTGTCTTTTTCTATGAGAAAATTAAATTTTACTTGAAGAATCAAATGTGGGACCATTAAGAAAGTTAATTTGAGTTTCATGTCTCTTTAGTTTCTTCACTTACATCTGGCTTTTTGCTACCTGTACATAGTGTTGTACAGTACGTTTTCTTACTTACTTTGTCTAAGATACTGTCCAAACTTGCCTGACCGTTTAGAATAACCTCTGGTTCATCATCTTGATCTTGAGATTTCTGAGAAAAGACAGCTTTAATGGCCGTTTCATAAATAAATTATTACCTAAAAGAGAGTCATTCTGTCTGTCCATATGTACATCTCTCAGTCAATAAATCAGTCAGCAGGCAATCAGGCAGTTTATGAATCAGTTGGTTGGTCAATCAGTCAACCAACCTTCAGTCGTAATAATTTTTGTCTAAAAGTATATTTAGTTGTAGTATTTATTCCTCCTGAAACTTCTTTTCTTTTGTCATTACAATATTATGTTCAACATCTAATTAGCTAAGGAATTTTAATTTAATTTTAATTTTAATTATTAAAATAATTATCACATCCATAAGGCATCCAGAAAATAATAATACCTCATCTGTAGTCGAAGGCTGTTCATCGCTGTCTTCACTACTTTCACTGTCACTATACTCAATGTCTTCTAGACTGTAGGAGTGAATGTCTGTCACTGACAGAACTTGAAGTTTATCTACAACAAAGTGATAAAAATAGGAATTATTAAACTCACATGATAGCAATAAGTGTCTAAACACTACGAACAACCGAAACTTACCAATAGGCTTGTCTTCGTCTTCTCCAAACCTTACTGGACCAGAGAAGTGGGGAGGGGTGTCTAACAAACCTTTAAGGTCATTATAAAGACAAATAAATTCAAAACTACCTTGTTGCCATGGAAACTACCAATTTCCCTGTTTCCATGGGAACACACAGACAGTCCAGATTTTGAATGCAACCTTATAAAACCATCAAAGCTGGTTTTTTTTAGGTTTTAAATCTTGGAATCTTGGTTTCCACCTAGTAGTTCTCTCTTGATTCGCTCCACCACTCTTCTATATTAAACTTTTTTTTACCTGTTTCAAAATCCAGCTCACCATCTTCCATAATTTCAGATTTTAGATCGTTTTGTTTCATTCCACCTTGGTAAGAAATAATCAAAAATGATATTTTTTTATCAATATATTAAAATGTAATTATATTATCAGATAAAATAATACTATTGCTTTTTTTTACTTTACAAACATTCAGAGTTTGCACTTCAAACAGGAAGCAAAACTTTATTTTTTTGGAAGAAATGGAAACCTGGTTGACTTTCCTTTGATTGGGTCGGATAACGCACCAGGTTTTCTATTCATTGACATGGAATTATTTTCTGTGGCATTTGTATTAAGGTTTTTTTTTTTATGAATAAAAATAATATTATTCATCAGATATAATTGTATTAATTACTATTTTTTTGATGAATTTTTTTTGTCGTGTGAATCTTATTTCCACACTGAGCCACTTGATTTTTTTCTTGTCTTTTTGTTTTTTTATAGGAAGGTATAATATTAAAGATAAAATGGTTTTTTTGAAAACTCAAGTGTAAAATATTCATTAACCTCATAAAAACCCAGAAGTTCTTTTTTTTTGTGGTCCCTCTCCACTTTAATAGATGTCTGTACTGGACATGTTTCAGCAACAAATAGTGCATCGTGATTTGGTTCTCTGGGCCAAAATCTACAAAGCAAAAGTTATTTTTTTTTTCAAGGGGCGGCTAGTWTGCCTTTAAAATTCTAAAATGYAGTAATCAATTTTTTTCRAGAGTGGTAACATAGCCTCAGTCCCCAGGTCTGAGCTGAAAATGAGGCTTTTTTTATAAAAGAAAGAAGGGRAATGAGAAGGAAATGAAAAGTGRAAAYATGGATTTTTTTTATTGACAGGGTACATCAYTTCAMAYRAAAAGGAATATGCAACAATTCAGAAACAATACAAAACCTTTGAGTTTTGTAGAAGTCATGAATTGGTAACTTCCCAGGGTTTTTTTTTTATTCCTGTAGCCTTGAATCATTGTTTTTTTCTATTGACAATGGCAAGCCTTTTTTTAACTACAAAATAAGTTATATATAGTACATCAATAGCACATAACTTTTGCATTTTTTTGTTATAATAAAAAAGATTATCAACAAATTTAATTTCATTCTTACTGTAGTTTTTTTTTTTAAGAATTTTCCTTTTTGTGGAGGTGTAACCTCTGTTATGCCATTGCATCCAATTTCCAATATGTCAAATGTACCATCTACAATAACAAAAGAATAAAGAAAACATTTTTTTACAAAGTGTTTTTAGTTCTCTCAAGACACAGGGAACCCATGTAAATATCATTTTTTTATCTTCATTAAATTTTACATTATAAAAGACGCCATTTTTGCATCTGTATATTTTTTTTAATCAAGCTTAAGGCCATGTCGTATTGCAAATATACTATAACCAAGCTTTTTTTTTCAGATAAAGTGATTGTAGCATCGAGCATAATTTTTCCCACCATTTCGCTCTTTTTTTTAAATTTGGATTTACGAATGAAAATGGCAAGGAAAGTACCTTCAATGTTTTTTTTTTGATCCACAATCTATTCCCTGTAATATTCTTTCAATTTTGATTTTATTTTATTTTTTTCATCTACGGGTGAGCTTTCCTCCATTTCCAAGAGTGATCACTGGGTTTCCTTTTTTTAGCGGCTCTAAATTTTTGGGCTTCCTGTGTGTGAAAAGCTCGCACCGGTCTTTTTTTTATTTTTGTCGGACACTGTTCGTGAAACCGCAAGCCTTCCGAATACTAGCCGATGCTCAGTGATCTTTTGGCGTCGACTGCTGGTTGTTGTTTACTGAATGCTTGAATTTTTTTAGTAAAAAACATCGAAATTGAAAATGGCTTCTGTTGAAGATAGCAACGATTTATTATTTCTAGAAAGTGTGCTTGTATCTGAAGACGAAATAGATGCCGTTTCAACYTTTTTTTTAGGATTTGAGAAAGATTCCGAAATACCGCCAAAATATTTTATGCGAAAATTTTTTTCGCCACATCGCGAACCTCCATGCCACTTTGATCCAGCTGAAGAAAGGATTTTACGACGAAAAAAGGTGACCGAATAACCTACTTATTCAATCGCTATCTCGTAATGATAATTCATGTGGTTTTATCTGTTTTTAAAACTCTTTATTCAGGCCCTATTGTCCGATTTTTTTTGTTTACTCGAACAAATTGAATTCATTGTTTTTTTTTTTCGATACGGTGATTTTTTTTCTTACTTATTCATTAAAACTATCTTTTTCGTGATATTTTGGGGGGATTACTTTTTTTTTTGTTGCTTTTATAAAGAGTTATGTGGTTTATGTCTCTCTGGGAGGCGATTTTTTTTAACAACATCAACTTTAGCTACCTGTTTCCTGTGATCAATTTGATTACTATTTTTTTAGATTACGAAGATGATTTTGAGTACATTTTTTATCGTGTTTTGATTTGTAACACTTTCTTGCACTTCAAAGATTTTGATAACTTAAAGTATTTCAGTTGTTTTTTCAATTTCAACTCGAAAGCGTCGTTTCAATTCAAATCAATTCGAAAGTTTTTAATATGTTTTTAATCAATTATTCATTCATTTGCTGACGGGTTTCTGGTGGTCTTTTGTTTTGGCCTTTTTTTAGATTATTTTTCTTTTCAGGTAATTAAAACTATGCTGTAGGTATTGTGCATTTTTTTTTCGAAATATTTTTTATTTCATTAGTTTTAACACCTTGTCTTCTTGTCGCTTTTTTTTTTTCCTGTGCCATCTGGAAATAGCTAAATCAAAGCTAAAAGGACCAGTGTTTTTTTAATGATACCCCATTTTGGCAATTATTCACAGGTATCTAGTATCACTGCAATTTTTTTCAGTTCTCTCGCTTTGATTCRAAGGCATGGGTATCGGGTAGAATGGTACATTTTTTTGACTGGTTGTACAAATGACAAATACATTTATCCACCAGATTTGGAAATATCCACTCCATCKATTTTGTATGGATCATATCCAGTGAATAAGGATTTATCTAGTTGTTTTTTTTTCTACTCAACTTTTGTGCAATTGGCACCTGATCTTTCCATTAATTTATTATTTTTTTTCTTTCATTCTTGCATTCATTCTCTTGTCCATTCATTTTTTCCTTCTTCCATTTTTTTTTTCATATTCATTCATCAATATACAACTGGCTCCTGGTTTTCCTATTGATTTTTTTTTTTTTCTTTTTCATTCTGACTTGCATTCTGTTCATCCATCCATTTGATCATTTTTTTAACCATTCATCATCTATTTTGAAGTATGCATGTACACTGTACATGGTACATTTTTTTAACTATAGTCCATCAGTATAATATGGTGGTTGCAACAATTATTGAACCCCTTTTTTTTTTCCCTCAAATCCAAAACAAAGGGAAATATGGAACTGGGAACAAGTAACTTTTTTTATTATATTTATTTAAGATTCTAAGTACTTGGGGCACTTCTCTTGACGAAGTTTTTTTAAAAGGCAATTACTCAAATTCAAATGGAATTCTTGCACTTCTGACTTTTGTTTTTTTCCAAGATTCCAAAGAATTCAACAAAAAGGCAGTTCAGCAGATTTCCAAAATTTTTTTAAAACTAATTGGAAGCAAAGGTGTTGATGTGCAYAAGTTTGGTGGCTTGCTTTTTTTTGTTGAGTTTKGTGATTCTGCTTCKTATCAGAAGCTTGGAGAACTGTTTATTTTTTTAGAAACACA